TGAAGTAGAAAAGGATCCACCAAAACTAGTTTTAATCGAAAGTATTTTGAGAAAGTATCTGGTCGATCAAGAGTCATTAACAATTTTTGATACTGGGAAATCTAAAAATGTATTCAAATATAAAAGTCAATTTCTAAGCATTTTCCATTCGATCCTACCATGCATTACTTACCGTAATTTAAATGATTCTCTTGTTAGAAAAATTAGTGACATGGGAAATGAAATATCACTTCCAAGTACATCTAAAAGCTATCTGGCTCTGGGAAGTTATTCAATATCATCACATTTGCCACTCTATGCGAAAATCAACACAAATGGAAAATGGATATTTTTACTGATTGAATTAAAACATATCCAAGTTGAAAGAATTTTAATCAATGCTTGGACCAATCACAAAATGGCAAATATTCTAGTTTTCTCTCTAGATAAACGTTTAAAACTGTTTGTGACTTCCTTCAATCCATTCAAGAAGCAAGGAAATGATTATGGAACATTTTGGTCTATGCAAATCAACAATGAAAACTTGTCGATGATCTTAAAAGTAGTGGAAAATATTTTTGAAAATAAAATTTCAAATCTTCAAGATTATCCATTGAAAGGCGTTTTTTTTCGAGAGGATGATTGCCTCGATAATATAATAGTAGGCATTTTTCAAAAAGCATTAAATGTGAAGTATGAAATTGTTTTACCTCGGGACGGAGATACGATTGGGACTCGTTTGCCTAATGGATCTTTCACTGGTGAGCTCAAAGATATCGAAGATGGTGCTGCTGATATTGGGTTGGATAACAGACTTTTGGTACCAATGAACTCTTCGAATTGTGCATTTCTCAACCCTGTGGTAGTGACTGAGATGAAGTACATAACATCAAAGAAATTTCCACCACCCACTCAAATTTTTCATTTCGTATTGCAAGCATATGATTTAGAAACACGTTGGATTTATTTTTGTTGTACTATTCTCACTTTACTCTCTTGGTATTTCTTGGATTTTATTCACCATCAATTGAAAGCTGTTGAAAAGAGAGAAGAAATTGGGAAACTGCTTCTAATCATAACAGCTATTCAAGTATCATCAACAGCATACATCAGAGACAACATCCCATCATATCAAAGGATTCTCATTGGGTCTCTTCTCATCGTTTCATTGATAATGTGCAATGCTTTTGAAGGTGAAATTCTTCGTAATTTGAGAAGTCCACAAAAATCACCAGACATAAACTCACTTGAAGATTTGTTGCAAAGTGATTATAAACTTACAGCATTCATCGCAGTGCCTGATTTATTTCAACCTGATGAAAACGATTCCAATGTCAACCAGATTCAAAAGAGATTGTATTACCGACAAACTGTGCTTATGTCCTTTGCTACTGCAGTTTGCAAAACTATTGTGGAGAATCCCAAACAAGCATTTTTAAGTAAGTTAATTATTTGCTTTTAGCAGTAGAATATTGTTGCAATTTGTAGAGTTTCATTAACATATTTTAACAGTGCGAGAAGAGTTCGTAAAGGAATTATTAAATGTTGAAATTAACAATGCAACTGGAGAAGATTTTTGTCATATTGTGAAAGAGTCGCCAATTTCATTCTTCTTAACTTATATCGTTCCAAAGACGTCCCCTTTCATCCGAAGACTAAATCGAGCGATTGCAGAAGCGAAGGAGTTTGGATTCATCGAGATAGCTAAGAAAAAAACCGACGCAATTCTGAAACAGCGACAAGCCAAACGACTGAAAGTTTTATTAAAAGCTGTTCAAAATCATCCACCAATTTCAATTGAAAATTTGAAAAATGTTTTAATTTTTTATGGGAGTTTTATTGTCATATCCTGTGGCATTTTGTTTATGGAGATATTTTTAAATTGTTTCAAAAACAGGGCTGCTATGAAAAATAAGAAGAAGCGAATTCGCAGACGCGTNACAACTAAATTATTATGGTAAAATGTGATAACAATTAAACATTTCTAACAGTGCGTGGAGAACTTGCTAAAAGTTTTCTAAATGTTGAAATTAACAATGCAACTGGAGAAGATTTCTGTCATATTGTGAAAGAGTCGCCAATTTCATTCTTCTTAACTTATATCGTTCCAAAAACGTCCCCTTTCATCCGAAGACTAAATCGAGCGATTGCAGAAGCGAAAGAGTTTGGATTCATCGTGAAAGCTAAAAGAACGTTTGACGCATTGAATGAGTTAAGATTAGTCAAACGATTAATCGTTGTTTCAGAAAACATTCAAGATCATCCACCAATCTCGGTAGAGAATTTGAAAAAGGTTTTCATTTTTTATGGTAGCCTGATTGTCATATGTTTTGGCATTTTCTTCATTGAATTATTTTCAAACTGGTTTCGAAACAATTATCTAAAATATTAAAATTTCATGAGTATTCAACAATTTCCTGTTGTCACTGTTTGATCTACAAAATATGCAATCTTTAAATTGTTGAATTTAATTTAGTGTGAAAAAAGAATTGATAAATAAAATTTTATTGCACAAAGACATTCAATTGAGGTTCAATGAAATTGGTATGAAAAGTAAGTTCATTTGTTCCCTGAAATTGTTTGGAATAAAAAGATTTTCATCAATAAGAAAACATTGTTAGAATTAAAATGTTAATTTTTTATTATCAATGACAATAGCATAAATCTCAAGATACGATAAAATGTCTAATTGACTTCCTTGGTTATTCGTTACATCATAAGGTGATAATACATTTTTCAAAACATAGTCACAGATTTTAGTATTGATCAATAAAAACTTCGACTTTTCTTCCTTTTCAATTTTTAGTCTAAAAATTATAAAGTCGCTAAGATAGGAACAGAATTTCTTAAATTCCTCAATATCAATGGAATGCTTGGCGAAGTCATAAACTGTAAGTGCGATAGTTGCAATAAAACTATCTTTGTTCTCGTATAAATTCTGAAGAATCAGGTCCAACTCACTAATAAACGGAAAATCGTAGTTGAAGTGCTGTAATAACATGAATAATCCCGAAAATTGTTTAGTTCTCTTCAGCAATTTTGAAAGTGCGAATAAAATTTCATTTTGATGAAAAAATTTATCAGGATTATCAAGTTCCTTGTCCGATTCCCATTTGACTCGTTTACAGCTTTTATTGGTAAAGAAAGCATAAAATTCAACAAATCGTATAATTTTCTTGAATTGCTGTTCCGTAATTTCCAGCTGGGAAATAACTGAAGTTTGAGTTTTGAAAGTTTTAAAAGGAAGATTAAAGTAACAAATTAGTCCCGTCATAGACTTAAACGCATTACATGCTTGCGTTTTGCTCAAGTCATAGCGATTCATGAATTTCATTAGTCCCTCTGAAAGTTCATAAGCAGATGTAGCGAAAGATGTTAAATCGTAAGGCAAACTATTCTGATCTTCTAATTCTAAAATGATGTCCCAGAGTTTGCGTAAAAGAATTGTACGTAGTCGAGCAAAGCTTAAGAATAAGGAATCATAATAGTTTGTGAGATGATTTGTAGTCACAATTAGCAATGAATCAATTTCGATAAATCCAAAAGTACATGTGTTGCTTAATTCAAGGAGAACTGAAATCTTCAGAAGAGGCAATTCTAAGCTTTTCATATCCACATTATATCCTAAAATTATTGATGCTTCAGAGCGAAGTAACTCATCGTAGAAATATAAAATTAAGCTTTCTAAACATTTACTTGTGGCGACTGGACTTCGATCATTCATAATGCTGAAGATTTTCATGATTTTATGCAAAGTAGGTTCCAGTTGATAGTGATTGAAAGCTTTTGTCAAGAAGTTGATAAAGTTTTGACATTCTGGAAGATCTTCAATAACTCTGAATCGATGTGCTTGAGTCATAAACATCAATATTGTATTAAAGTTTTCTTCAGTTATAGAATTTAATTCAGCAGCGAATATTTTGGATAAACTTTTTTTAACATTCGTTTTATCGGAGTTTGAAAGTTCGTTTAAGTGGCTTGTTTGATTGAGCAATAAATGAGCATAATGCAGTATGATCTTATCGTTTAGATTTTCAGATGCCATTTTGAAAATGTTGATAAATAAGTTTTGTGGCGTAATGTTGATGTAAGTTATGATATTGTTCATTTCACTCAGCGACAGTCCAAGATTGGAGAAAGTCGTTACTAATTGATGAAATGGATTATCCTCGAACTTTACCATCATTTGATAAGTGAGATTTATCAGTTTTGAATTGCCGATTCTCATATTTTTTTCATAGAAAACAAATCTTTTGTCATTTCCATACATACATTCTCGGTCTTTAAAGAATATTATTGCAGTCATCAGAAGAAATATATATTCGTCTATTTTATGCATTATCAGAAAATCAAAAAATGGTGGAATGTTTTCTTCATTGAGAAGAAAATCCTTGACATTTTCCGAATATTCTTCAGCATTTTTGATGATTTTTTCTAAACTTTCAATTGCGATTTCAACAAGGCGAGGATTATTATGAACGAAAAAATGCTTGTAGTTATTTAAATAATCGTGGACGTAGAATTCCCGGTTATTTTGAACGGCGTTGCAATAATTTTGACCAATAATCACGGCTATCGAACTGTTGTATTTTAATCCTTTTAGGGCATGATCCATCACGAAATCAAGACGAGTATTAAACATTTCTATTGTGAAAAATTTATTTATCGACCGTTTGTTCCTCCTTTTTTTATCTGAGACTTGAGTAAGTAGTGGATCTATATGATATGCTAGTAGCAATGAACAAACAGCTTTCGATTGTGACTCATCATCTGATTTTTCCATCCATTCATGAAGAAATATTAAACCTTTAAGAACAGCCAAAATATCGCTTTCTATTGACTTCATCAAGAATAATTTAAATTTAATTGAGATATTTTCGAAGTGATTCAGATAGTATGGTGGAAATTCCTGTCAAATAAATTAACGATTGAGTGAATGCTTCGATTAAATACTTTTTCTTCATAACCTATTTCTTACAAATTCCGAATCAAACTGCTCAAAAAACCATAAAATATCATAATAATGTCTTATTAAGTCGTTTGGATCGATTGTTTTATCTCGATAGTTGATTGCATTCTAGAAATTGTAGAGAAAAATGATAAATTGAAAGATTTAAATGTGGGAAAATTCAGATGAATTAAAAATTTAAATTTTCCATTACCTCCGACGAAAAAAGACTAACAAAAAAAATTAAGGAGCTTTCCATTGGTTTATTTATTAGAAAAATATTTCAAAACAGGATAACAAAACACTAATTTTTAGAATTTTAAAGTTTTACGCCACACAAATGTCCTTTAGCTTATTGACCTTTAATAATAAAACTCAGTTATAATTAACGGTTTTCCATGATTCAAAAATAATTTAATAGTGCGTTCACTGGTCTAAAAAAAGACAAAAGTTTACTGAATACACAACATACATTTTTGTCCAAAATTATTTTCTCAGAGGTTTTATTATAATATCTCATATTGCCGTAATCTTTAGAAAGCAAGAAAGTTCTCACAACCTATTTCGATGGACAATAAGACGTCAGGTAAAAGTTTTAAGATAAGATGTTGTCGAAATGCTTATGAAACGATGATTGTTTTCAGGAACACGAAAANTTTTACTGATTGAATTAAAACATGTCCAAGTTGAAAGAATTTTAATCAATGCTTGGAACAATCACAAAATGGCAAATATTCTAGTTTTCTCTCTAGATAAACGTTTAAAACTGTTTGTGACTTCCTTCAATCCATTCAAGAAGCAAGGAAATAATTATGGAACATTTTGGTCTATGCAAATCAACAAAGAAAAGTTTTCGACGATCTTAAAAGCAGTGGAAAATATTTTTGAAAATAAAATTTCTAATCTTCAAGAATATCCATTGAAAGGTATTTTTTTTCGAAAGGAAGATTATCTTGACGAAATAATGGTAGACATTTTTCAAAAGGCGTTTAATGTGAAGTATGAAATTGTTTTACCTCGACATGGAAATTTTATTGGGACTCGTTTGGCTAATGGATCGTTCAATGGTTTGCTCGAAGACATAGAAGATGGAGTTGCTGATATTGGATTAAATAACAGACTTTTGGTACCAATGAACTCTACGAATTGCGCATTTCTTAACCCTGTGGTAGTGACTGAGATGAAGTACATAACATCAAAGAAATTTCCACCACCCACTCAAATTTTTCATTTCGTATTGCAAGCATATGACATAGAAACCCGTTGGATTTATTTTTGTTGTACTATTCTCACTTTACTCTCTTGGTATTTCTTGGATTTTATTCACCATCAATTGAAAGCTGTTGAAAAGAGAGAAGAAATTGGGAAACTGCTTCTAATCATAACAGCTATTCAAGTATCATCAACAGCATACATCAGAGACAACATCCCATCATATCAAAGGATACTCGTTGGGTCTCTTCTCATTGTTTCATTGATAATGTGTAATGCTTTTCAAGGTGAAATTCTTCGTAATTTGAGAAGTCCACAAAAATCACCAGACATAAACTCACTTGAAGATTTGTTGCAAAGTGATTATGAACTTACAGCCATAATCGCAGTGCCTGATCTATTTCAACCTGATGAAAATGATTCCAATGTCAACCATATTCAAAAGAGATTGTATTACCGACAAACTGTTTCTACGAATTTTTCTACACCAGTTCCCAAAACTATTGCGGAGAATCCCAAACAAGCATTTTTAAGTAAGTTAATTATTTACGTTTACCAGTACAGTGGAACTTTAATAAACAGATAACTCAAGGGAGACAAAAAAAATATCTGTTTATCGAAGTAACTGTTTATCAAAGTTTCACTGTATATGAATATTTGTAAAGTTTGTTTAAAATATTTTAACAGTGCGAGGAGAGTTCGTAAAGAAATTTTTAAAGATTGAAATTAACAATGCAACTGGAGAAGATTTCTGTCATATTGTGAAAGAGTCGCCAATTTCATTCTTCTTAACTTATATCGTTCCAAAGACGTCCCTTTTCATCCGAAGACTAAATCGAGCGATTGCAGAAGCGAAGGAGTTTGGATTCATCGAGAAAGCTAAGAATAAAGCCGACGCAATTCTGAAACAAAGACAAGCCAAACGATTGAATATTTTATTAAAAGCTGTTCAAAATCATCCACCAATTTCAATTGAAAATTTGAAAAATGTTTTAATTTTTTACGGGAGTTTTATTGTCATATCCTGTGGCATTTTGTTTATGGAGATATTTTTAAATTGTTTCAAAAACAGGGCTGCTATGAAAAATAAGAAGAAGCGAATTCGCAGACGCGTCAAACTCAAATATTAAAAATTATT